AAATAAAATAAATTTTACAGTCAAATATTTTTATTTATAATAAAAAAAGGGGTATATAAAATGTATCTGAAAAAGTATCTAAAAACAGATACAGATACCTCTAAAATAATATCTAGATACAGATACAGATATCTTTCTAAAAAATCTATCTAGATACAGATACAGATACTACATTTTTATATCTAGATACAGTATCTAGATACTTGTATCTAGATACTTTAACAACTCTGGTAATTTTATTTAAAATCTTTGCTCGGCAAATTTTCTCAATTATTTTTAATACCTAAAAATGGATTTTTATATCTATTTTAGGAGATATTTATAAAAAATGTAGTTTTTTTACATGACAGAAGGAAAATTACATGTGAAATTGCATTTCATACCTAGATTATTTGTTCACATTACAGCATTGTATGTAAAATCATTGTTTCCTAATTCTCATTAATCAGACCCCGAATAATGTATATTGTAACTTCTAGTTCCTAAATGTCTTAAAATGAATGAATTATTATATTTTGCTGATATTACATTGTCAATATTAATGTTCCATAGATTATAAATACGGATACTACGATGTAAATGTAATTATTGATAATATGTTTTCCCTCTATTTTATATTGAAATGTATAGGAGATATTATACTATAAATCATCATAAAAGGAGACGGTTAGATAAATTCCCTGAACGTTTCCTAAGCGTGCCGAAAGTTGATACAATTCAAATGGACGATTCGATACAATACCACCAGAGAGAGAGGGACGCTGGGCCTGTGAAGGGTGGACATGTTGTAGCAGTTAAAAAAAAGAAGAAATAAATTTAATATATACTAAATGTCATTATATATTTTTTTAGTTGTTATTTTGTCATTGTGAATAAAAGGACTTTTGAATTTATAAGATATATTGTTAAAGGGAAGTGTTGAGAGTATAGGGCATTCTTCACAGAAGCATTCCTCCCATTGCTATGAATCTATGTTTCAATATTCCTGTAGGATGTGAGGCTTCACATACTATACGCTATTTGCTTCATCCATTTAACAATATTTTTTTTAGATTGCATTTAATATTTCATTTAAATCTCTTAAGAGAGAACACTTCATTTCTTCCTTTGGCAAAACATTCCCTGAATATTCCATTTATATATCTGCTGCTATGGCATGGCCATATCTCTTATTTGAAATTTCATGAAACAACCATAGAATCCCGACAAAGAATACAACAAGAGGATCCCTTGGGCCATGCTATTTTCTGTTAGCAACATCAAAGACAACAATAGACACCAGCAATGCCATTTTAAACAGGTTGTAGGCCATACGATGAATTAATAATATTAATTCTATCTTCTTTCGGATCTCACTCCAATTATTGGTTTTACACTCAATCATAAAAAATGCCAATTTTATATGCAAAATAATTTTTATCTAATTCCAAGAAACTTTTCTAAAGTAAAGAAATCAACCTATACTCATATAGGCTCACCTATTGGAGGGAAAGCAGCAATATATAAATTTAATGAAGACTCCCTGATTAAATTTTACCGACTTCAGAAAATCATAAGCTTATTACCATCTCATCATTCGTTCATTCTCCTAAAGAATTTCTTTGCATTCCAACAAAATTGCGTGCCTTTCGTTCTGCTCCTCTTTTCCAACTCAAAGACATGTTACTAGATTAGGACTTAATAAAATCTCCCTTGAATCAATATTTAACCTCAAATTCTCGCCTAGTTGCTAGATGAAAGCTGGTCTCTCAAGTGATGATGATATAAGCTTTAGATTTCCTGCCTCACTGCATTCCATTGAATTTCTTTATTCAAACGCTACTTTGAAAGGCTCCTCATCTCCCCAACACAACGTATTAATTTCTCGTGCCCGATAAATTAAAATAGTGATTCTCCATCATCAATTTGACATTTCAATTAAAGGCTATGAATGGCTCGAGACTTCCATCATATTTATAACCTGTAGAACTAATCTAGGGGGAAATATCACACCTGATAAAAATGACACTAGTTCATGGATCAAGAGAATCCCGCTCAGGGATTATACATCCTTTGATCGGTTTGCACCATCCATTAATTTCAATTCTTTGGTTAGAGTGGAAATTTAAATAAATAAATATATTAACATCTCTAATCACTTTAACATCCATCTCCGACACAATCGGTGCTTTTGGATCCATAGCCCAGGATTTATTCGAACTCACCCAAAAAATGCGCTTAATTTTGGGTGATCTTTAGGAAGGCTTTTACCTATGTCAACGAATCTCAATTGAAATTTTAATATAAATTTATGGTGCCATAACCTGCATACACTTCCTCATTTTTTTTTAAACGCTCATTTTTTATTCTAAAATTTTTATAATTTTTTTTTAAAATACATTCTTTTTATTTTTTAAAAATATATTTTCATTTTATATTACCTTTATTATAAATTGCGTTTTTCAATTAAAATAAAATCTTCATTCTTTAAAAAAAAAATTTAGATTTATGAAGTCATGCAATTTTGTCAAAAATTTATAATAATATGATTTTAATATAAATATACTATACTGTTATGTTAAAAATGTATATAATAGTTATTCATTCATTCCATCTGTTAATAACTTTTTTTTTCCTATTTAAAGTATTTTTGCTTGTAAGATTTAAAAGATACAAAAATAAGATTTCGTTATACCTTTGAATCGTGTTATACCTTTAAAAATTTGTTAAATCTCATATTAAAATACCGCCTTCCAATAATTATAACATCTTAAACAATGATAAAACTATTTCTATATAAATGAGAAAAAAAATTGAAGTGGCAGCATCGTGCTTAAGTATTTTAGAAATATGGGTATTTATGAAACATTTGAATCCAACTACCCAGCTGGATAAGCCTCAGGGATGTTTCTCAATTTTCCTTATTTAGACATCAGGCTTAAGAAATAGAAGACTTTATTTCTAAAGCAATCAAAATCCATTACTATAAATGCCAGATTTACTAAATAATTTTAATAAAAAATAATAATTATAATTAAAAGAAAAATAGATTTTATTCGGAGGCATATTATCATCAGTTTCGAAATTAAAAATATTTTCTCATCCAACTATAAATGGAGTTTATTTATGGAGAAATATCAGATTTTTTGTCAACCTTCAGATGGTGATACAGTAAAAAAACCATAAGTAATAGGACATTATTACTTTTAAAGGAAAGATTTATTGTGCAACCAATACTAAGGTAGGTTTAATTCTAAATCCAAATTTCAAAAGTCTTAAGTTTTTAACAGACGATGAAAAGGTAGATATATATAAAATAACTATGATGTTATGCAAAAGACAAAGCCAAATATCATTTTTAGCTTTTCTAATACGTCTTGCACACATAAAAAACAGCATATTGTATATAAAACATTTAGAGAATTTATAGATTCTTCTAATTCTGATAAGCGCCAAAATCTGCCGATGAAAGTTGTGAGGATGAATTATCCTTCGCAAACAATAAGCAATAAAAATATTTTAAAATTTTGGAAGCAGGGGAAATTCATTTCAATTTGCCCGGGCAAGTTCGGCTTCCAGTGAAAGATGATTTTTTTTCTATAGCCAATCGCTTATTAGATCAAAGACGAACACAATTAAAATAAATTCTTTCTATTTTTTTATAAAAATTTTGATTTATAAATGGTAATTATTTTGTAATTAAAGAAATAAAAAAACTATGAAAGAATAAATTCAAAAAAAAGCGTTAGAAGATAGTAATAAAGTTTTGAGAAATAGAGAAGAAAAAAATGTAAAAAACCATGAATTTTTCTGGCGTGATCAAAATACTGTCTTGCGTGAGCGGGCGGGTCGGGTAAAAAATTTTTTTTTAAACATAACCCATCATCGTGGGGGAACATTACCTTATACAGAATCTTTCGAACCATAGTAACATTCTTAGTCCCACGAGCCTAATTACTAGAATCATTATTTGATTATACAATCTTACCAATTCTTCACCAAAATTTTATTAGCAAAATTATTATTATCATATTCTTTAAATTGTAAATTTAATTTTTTTTTAGCTTGTTTTCCCCAGTTTTTTTACATTTTGAAAAAAAAAACATCATTTATTTTTTACATCTCAATTCAAAGTTTGGCAAAAAAACTTCCACAACTGAACCTAATAACATAAATATTCGCCCTTTTCCTAACCAAGGATATTTTTATTAATTTTAAAATCAAATATAGTAACAATAAATAATCGTGCAATTTCCAATCGAATCGTTTCAATTATACAAATAGATTTGGTAAGTGCATGACTAATATTTATACCTCATAAAATTATACAAATTTTTCTTTTAAAATAATATATATATTTTAAAAATTTGTTATGAGAAATAAGGGAAATAAGTGAGGTGGTTGAGGAGAGGGAGCTAAATGTAAAAAGTTAGGATATTTTTTAAAAAAAACAACGGGATATTCATATTAAAATATCTTGTCTAAAGATGGTATTATTAAAAAATTATTACTTATAAAAAAGAATATTGCATATCAAAGAGGTTATTAAATAAAAAAAAAAATAATAATCTAAGTATCGATTTTAGATAGGAATTTTTATTTTAGTAAAACAATCTGGCAAGGTTTATTATAAAGGGAAATAATTGTACGATAGAATTAAAGGAAAAAAAGTAAGTCAATAATCTAGTTTGGAAGACTTTATTACATGGGCGGAGAATTATAATACATAATTTTTTTAAAAAAAAAATCATAGTTCAATCAAATTAAACAAATTTCATTTTCGCAATATGTGGGGAATTTATTTTATTTTACTATGAGTTTCAATTTTTTTTTTCTTGTCGTTGGTTGTAATGATTGTATATTTTCTCCAAAAATCAATAAAATAAAAAAGAAAGGAATATTTTAATTCTCATTTAATTTTTGGGTGACATTTTCCTAAATATTTCTATTGCTTTTTGATGATACTATTTTCGAAAGAATCCCTCGTTTTACTCCTTATCTTTGGAACGGAGACATCTCTCCTCGTCGGAGATGTCGACCATTAGGGTACCGCCGCTTATAAGCTAGACCAACCAAGCGTATCGTCCATATTCACGTCAAATTTGGCGGTCTTTACAATTTTAAATTCGTCGAGATCCTTTAATATTTTATTTTCGAGTAAATCTTTTGAGAGAGTCTGGTCGAGTTCTTCGATGACCTTTTTTCGAATGGCCAGATTCTTTCTATCAATATCGGTGGAGATGTTATTCTTCTTCATAAGACCACTTTGGTAATCGCTAAAATGTGCTTGCAGATCACGGTCAGCCGGTTTAATTAACATCTTTTTGTCTCGTGCGTCCTCCAGGTTTTTTGGATCGATATTTTCAATATTTTTCACGTCCAAACCTCCGGCATTTATCTCGCGCTCATTTTCGTGGACATTATCGGAGGCTCGAGAGTTGGATACCCCAGGCTCCGGGTTGGTCAGCGGAGAATCGAGGTCGAACTCGTACAAAGCTCCTCTGAGTAGGAGTCTTTGCCTTGCCAGATGAACTTTGAGAATGTATGGCATGTCGGGGATTAGGTGGGCTATTAGCTCGGTTATAACGAACACGAAACACTAAAAATGGCATATTATAATGAGCATATAAATATTTTAAAGGATGAATAAATATATTACGGGTGGGTGGGGGAAGGGATGGAAAAATCGTAATTTTATTTTAATAACCAAAGGATAGGGAATAGTTTTCTAATAATTGTGACATAAAGTTAAATGTTATGTTAAATAATTGTTTTGCACTGGATAAGTGTTTTCTAATAATTATTAGGGATGTATGGATATTTTTTTTCTGATCGGATCAGGCCGATATTTTATATTTCTTAGAATATGGGTTCCGTCAATATTATAAAATTTTCAGATACAATTCGATAAATGTCTTAATTTAAAAAAAAAAAATTATTTCAAATTTCTCAATATATTAGTTTGTTACTTATTATATAAATAGATTAATGTTATTATATAAATAAGCGATTTATCAATAAAAATATTTTATCTACTTATAGATTCGTGAATATAAACTATAACTGATCATTATAATATATTCAAATGACTTATATTGTGATATAGTTAAATTATAGATCTTATACGATGAAAGGTATATGAGATGAGTAGACGTAGTGAAGCGATGCAAAATCCCTCCATTTGAGCCTATTTTAAAAACGGCTAACTCAATATTTTCGCCAAAAAAATATTGCCTAAGTCTTGAGATTTCGCTAATAGATGTCCAAACCTTTGTCATCTATAAAAAAAATCTTCAGACTTGCGTAATGCCGTTTTTAAATGACTCAATGGAACAATTTTGCAACACTAGATGTATGCATAAAAAAATTAAAATGATAAGTATGTTTACAGAATAAAATCAAATATGATATTGGATTGGTAATAGGCCGATATCAATTTTATATCGGATCGACCTCATAAAAATTTTATGTAATTGTAATCTTTTTAATATTGAATCTGAAACTTAAAGATTTTAAGTAATATTTAATATATTGTCACAAATGTAATAACCTTTGTTTCACTTTAAACAAAAAAAACTATTTAATAAATACAAATCTATTTTATATATAAACCGCAAAAATGATAACAAAAGCCAATCTTGAAACTAATATGACCCAATACTTGTAGCTCAAGTTGAAAGGGGGAACGGCAATTCTATAGTCTCTGTACCTAAAATAAAATGTAAATTTTTATTTATTTTCTTCAGAAAAAAAATCTCGATATCCGACTTTATATGCCAATCCATCATCTAAAAACTTTTCTGCCTTAAAGGTTTATTGCAATTTTTTTTTTTTAGAAAAATCATTTTACACAATTGACCTTTTAAGAATTAAGCATCTCCTCATTTATAATTACAATTTTCCTCAAATAAAAACATGTCGAATTTTTAATAAGTTTTAATTAATAACCATGAAAAAATCTTTAATTTTATTATACTACCTTTCCTAATAAAAATCGAATTATTGTTAATAGGGTTTAATTTGATTTAGTTTCCTAAAAAAATTAATAATTCTTTTTAGTATAAATTGGTATAAATTAGTATAATATCAGACAATTTTATAGAACATTTAAAACTTCTTTAAATTTATAACAAATTAAAATGTTCGCAAAAGTTGGTGGAGAAAAATTTTCTAAAAATTCATCCAATAAAGGTAGAGTGAACTCAGTGTCGTAACTGTTCGATAAAGATGTTAAATGATTACATTATATTTGAAAGATTTTTTATATAATATGAATTTTTTTTAGTTAATTAGAGTTAACAAAATTGAATTGTAAAAAAATGAAGTGTTAGATAGATTTGTAAATTTTAGCGTTTAAAGTAGTAGTATAAATAGTGAGATCAAAAATGTAATAATTAAGAAAAGAAAAGAAAAGTTTCATAATTTTTACTTTTATATTTTTGATTTTATAGTTTTATTTTACTATTATAATTTATAATTTATAGTTTTCTTTTTCTTTATTTTATAATGACTATTGAGTAGCTATATATCTTAATAAATTAATTTATTGTCCTCAATTTTTGATCTTAATAATTATTAATTAAATTTGAAGTGGAAATTAATTACTCTCTCATTCAAAACTTCGAATTTTTTAGTCAGATTTATTGAATTTTTCAAAAAAAACGTCATTATTAGAGTTATTTAAAATTAAAAGATTTTGAATCTCCACGAATTCCATATCCCAATATGGCATAAAATAATTTTTTTAAAAAAATCTATATGGTAATTTTTTTTTAAAAAAAAAACCTACAGACGGAAATATTTTTCGTGTTCGCGTCGCTGTAACTCCCGCTGTAGATTCCGTCGATACTTCTAAAAGGTGGCTTCAGGTAGGACAGATTAAAGAGGGATAGACTTTGGTTTATATAACCTACGAGAGTATATTGATTGTAATTAGATTGGTTGTATAAGTAATTGTTTTGAGATGTCGTGTCGTATTTCGAGAAATGGTATTGGTAAACTATTTTGGGGATAAAGTTGGACGTGAAAGCTATAATCATGGCCTTAGGGAAGTGCCCGAACATTTTTTAAAAATAACGGTAAAAAAAATGAAAAATAAATACGCGTAATTTTTATAATAGTCATCTATGAAAAAACCAGGATTTATAAGAATATCAGTGATGAAATGAAATTTTAAATCAAAAGGTGGCTTTTATAACTGCGATAAAAGTTTGAGGAAAAACTATCCCCATTTAAAATAAATAACTAAGAAATCGAAAAGAATTATCAGAAGACATGCAAGCCAGTCTACGGCAGGAAAATAACCTCATCTCAAATATCCGGACCGAAATATATAAATAATTATGAATTGGGAGGGATCGAATTTTCTAAAACAATTTAGATTTTTCTAGTCGAAATATCATATGATACATCATTTTAACATTCGTTAACTTCAACTTTCATATTCCCCTCCTAAACCATTTACAAAATAAAACCAAAATTATATAATGATTAAAATCCTAAAAATTGGAATAGAAACTTCCTTAAATCCGGCCTGGGTTTAAATATTTGGCCTCTCTCAGGTTTCTTTGTATCGATTGTGTAATTGGTAAGGAAGAAAGGTTTTCTTAAAAAAATAAATTTACACCAGTTGTTAAATGGCTCATTTTGAGCCGATTTTTAAAAACGGCTAACTCAATATTTTGTTAGGAAAAATATTATGCAAGCCTTGAGATTTTGCTCATAGGTGGCACAAAGGTTTGAACATCTATTAACGAAATCTAGAGGCTTGGACAATATATTTCTGACTAAAATATAGAGTTAACCGTTTTTAAAAATCGGCTTAAATCGAGCCGGTTAATAACACTACAATTAATATGCAAACAAGTTATCTAGTACATAATTCTTTAAAAAAGATACAATATTTTATCTAAAAAAAAACTTACATTGGTAATTACGGACAATTTTGTAATAATCTTAATTATATCGTACCAAACACCTATTTATTTAAAAATAAAATAAAGGTATTTAATATAATAAATAATATATGAAACTATAATTTAAATTTATTTATATCCATATATGATATGAGATAATAAAAAGTTTCAAAATGAAACCTATATCCTGAGCCCTACAAGATATGACCCTCCTGAATTGCGTAACAAATTTGAAAGCGTCGAGTCGTATTTCTATAATCTTATTCAGAAGCGAGAAAAGGGGAGCTAAGGGAAAAGCAGCCACGAACATTGTCGTAAACCCAAATTGTATACCTTACGTTATTTTAGTATATTCGTTATTCTTTTTTTTTTGTAATGTAACTTTTGAAAGAGTGTATTTTAACTAGTTACTTCTCAAAAATAACTTTAAACAAACCTTGGATTAGTTTTCAAATGATAATAAATCTTAATTTAAGCGACTAATTCTAATTTTTTTTCCTCTCAAAATAAATGTTTCAAAATCGAACTGAAATCAAAATTTTTTTTTTTTAAAACATATATTCCTAATTCATAGTCCACCTTTGTTAGCGCAAAATTTATAATGTATAATAATAATAGTAAAAATAATAAACCCATCTCCAAATATTCATCGAATAATCTCAGAGGAGCAGTGTCTGCTAAATTATAATCGTCTTGATATTGAGGTATATCTTTATCGCATTTCCTATTTTTTTTATCGGTCGCGTTAACGTTGTTATGGTTATCTTCTTGTTCTAAAGATTAATAAATCAATATATTTTTTTAATACAGGTTTTCCCTCTCAGTTTAATCATATTTTAATTTTAATAAGCCCCAAGAAGTTAAAATTGGTGGGCAGTTCTGAAAAATATATTCTAACAATAGGCGGTTAATAATGATGAAAAATTATTAGCTAATCTCCTGAAAAAATAAAACTAAAGTTTAAAAAAAAAATTGTCCTGGCTAATAACCAAAAAATATCCAATTTTTAAATTGGAAAAAATATAGTATATAGGTGAGATTACAAACGATACCCTTATTAACTTCTCTAACACTATTACAATTTACATTTATAAATGAAAATATTATTTTATATTATATTAATCTCAAAACAGTTGATTAACCAGATTGATATAATGAAATTAAGCCAGCCCTACCACAATCATCATTTTTTTTTCTTCAAAATCGTATCTTTTTTTAAATTTTACTTTCGTTCCGGTTATCTGGACTAGTTCCATCATCGTTTACGAAATGATTGTCCGCGTTATGGGATTTGAGGGGAGATGATTGGCTCCGGAGGAATGAACGTCTACGCCACCAATTCATAATCACGCTAGGGTTTCAAAAAAATATAATATTTTATATAAAGGATAATAGCCACTAGATTTTTAAATCAAGCTCAAATAGCCACCAATCATAAATTATTTTTTGTAAACCTCCCAGATCCCATAAATCACGCTTAACGTTTACGATATCACATCCCCCCCCTTCCTTCCTTGAGAAAAACTAACCATAATTATTCTTTTAAAATATATGGTACAAAAACTAATTTCTGTGCCTCAAGTTTTTGATGGTATATTTTAGCGAAAATTAGCCAATCTACGTATTTTTTAGTATTTCTAGTTCTAACTTGATTTTTGGTGGAAATTACATTACTGAGAATTTATCTTTAAGAGTCCCCTTTTACTCTTATTATATTTAAAAAAAAATACAATCCAAAAATTAATTTAACAAAGTGATTAATAGCGATAACCAGATGGAATGGACGATTTTCAAATAAGCTTTCTTAGAAGATTGAAGGAAATTAAATTAGATTTAGAACTATAAATTGAATCATTATCTTATAAAATTTAAAAATTTTTACAAATGCTAAGGTAAACTGCAAATGCTTAGGTAAAAATAGGTAAAAAATTTTGTTTATTCTCTCTTAATTGGAGCGAGGTTCATTTTCTTATTCTATAAATAACTTATAAAAAATTATATTCTTAGATATATTCAATAATAAATGAATAAACATTAATTATCTCATAATAAAGAGTTTAAATCATTTAGTATAATTAAATTAAAAATAATTATAATTATATTTTAAATTTCATTAATATTAAATCCGCAAGTTGTCGTATTATTATTTAAATACGCCAGCTAGCGGATTTTATATTATTGTAATTTAAAATGTTATTATAATACTTTTTTTAAGATAATTATTATATTAATAGATTTAAACTAGTTATTATGAGATAAAAGAAATCATTTATTATTGATTATATCTATAATAACACTAATAGCCCTTCAAGAATGACTAGAATTTATGTTCTTAAATATTGGATATTAAAATTGTACCTTATATTATATAAAAATTTAGTAGAAAAAGAGGTAAATTTGTAAATCATACCTCATAAAATATTCTTAATTTCTGATTTAAATATTGGGAATTTTTAAATTCATTAAGACTTTTTTAAATTTTTTATTCCAGTCCTCAACTAACAAATTTTCATATCGTTGGTTGGGCTTGGGGGTTTTTTTCAAAATTATTATGGCCTTGGACCTTGCTTGGGAATTTTTTATATTAAATATATTTTAGCTTAAAGCAAAGCATTACATTTAATAATTTAGAAGGCCCAAAGAGAGAAGAGGGTTATCATAATATTTAACACAGAATATTTATAGGGAACTCTGGTAAAAGTCAATTAAAATATATTTTTAATCAAAAAATAGCATTTAGTCTTAATAGGTTGGCTGAGCTTTGGAAATTCAGCTTGGACGTTTGGGAATTTTTTTTTATTAACTATGGGTCAGACATTGACCTAAAACAAATTTTTCTAAGGCCTGGGCTAGCCTGATCAAAAAAATTAAGCCCAGGAAAATCTGATTTTGATTGTATTTTAAAATTCATTAAGATTTTTTAAATATTTTATTCCAGTTCTCAACTACCAAAATTTTCATATCGTTGGTTGGGCTTGGGGTTTTTTTTTCAAAATTATTATGGCCTTGGACCTTGCTTGGGAATTTTTTGTATTCAATATATTTTAGCTTAAAGCAAAGCATTACATTTAATGGATCGGACCTGGCCTGAAAAGAGAAGGGGGTTATAAGGAATAAAAATTGGATATTATTTTGAAATAACTGGTAACAACGACCATAAAAGTAATGAGAAAATTCTCATTCCGCATCCTCTTAAAAAAGATTATTCTTAAAATATTTTAAAAAAACCATGATTACCTGAAATAACTGTTAACAACTACCATTGATTTAAATGTTTCCTTAAAATAGTTAAAATATATTAAATAAAAATTAAACTTGTGGTTGAAAATGCTTTGCTATTTTTAATATTCCATTTTTAAAAAATTTAAAAAATAAAATGGTCGATATAAAGTAATTAAAAATGGAATAATTAAAAAAAATAAAGAAAATAAATTTAAACCAATAGATTAGAGCTTAGTAATCCTATGAAAAAAAATAAATATTGATAAAATTTAGTTAATTTTAAAAAATCAAATATAAATAAAGATTTTTATAACAAAATATAAAGCTTAAAAGGGCTGAACGATAAGAATGTTTGCCTTACTGTAAGAACGTTTGCCTTTGAAATTAAGGCGTGAATTCGAATCCCCGAGTAAGAAAAATAAATTTAAAAAAAAATTTTACATTACCGAGATAATAAAAGCCCTCGATTTATTTAACATTAAGAAGATAGGAAAGTTGATAGAAATTAACGTTATGAAGATATGAAAGTTGATACCAAAAAAAAATTAACGTTATAAAGATAGGAAAACGTTCATTTCTTGAATACGGCTAATATATATATCAGAGACCTGCAGGCCCGGCCCGTATTTTAAATTTTTTAAATATACCCCGGCCGGGCCGGGCCTAAGATTGTTAAACCCGGGCCGGGCCTAAAAATTTTTTTTAAAATATATCCGGGCCGGGCCTAAGATTGTTAAACCCGGGCCGGGCCGGGCCTTAATATTTTTTATAAAAATTTTTACATTATGAGTTAATGGTTATAAGATTATATTATATTATATATATGATTAATATAATATTGGGTGATGGTTAACACACCTAACACCCACAGATCGATCTAATTATTAATTTCCTGCAAATTTATACAAAGTGTTAATATATTTTTTTATAATTCATATCTAAATTTTTACAACATATTTTACCAAAACAATCAAATAAAGGAATATCTTAAATAAGCCCCAATATTCAAGTATTAATAATATATTTTTTATAATTCATATCTAAATTTTTTGAATATTTACCAAAACAATCAAATAAAGGAATATCATGGCACAAAATACTAATGATATAATTAATAAAATTAAAAATAATATTTATTCTTTTAGAAATACAAATAATAATTTATAATCTGAAATATGGGCTAAATTTAACATCATCATAGATGAAAATTAAAAAAACATTGGCTACGTACAATGTAAGAATTGTTCAAGTATATTATCTTATAATTATAAACATGGTACATCACATCTAAAAAGACATAAATGTGATGGTAAATCCATGAAAATTAATAAATTTTTTTTTACACCTGAAAAACCAACCTATAAATGTAATATAAAATATTTAAAAATTATAAAATAAATTATATTAATATTGTGCAATTAGATTATATTTTCAAAATACTATTTATTATACATGCAATTTTTTTAAATAGCGATTTATTTTTATTTTATAAATTAAATAGTAAATTAAATACAATATATTATATTCTCAAAATATTTTCCATTTTTATAAATTAAATATTAGTTTTATTTTTTTTAAATGTAATATAAAATATAGTATATGACAAATATTATTACCATTTTTATGAATATTAGTTTTATTTTTATAAATATAAAATATAGTATTTGCTCAAAATATCCATTTTTATAAATAACAGTTTTATAATTTTTATAAATTCAATATAATATTCTCATAATATTAGCTTTTTCATGTATTTTTTAAATAATAAGCGATAATACTCGCTGAAAAATATGGTAAAATACCTCATAGGTGAATTTTTGTATATACCAGGTCGAATATAATTTTAAAATAATTCCGAGCTGGGCCTGAAATTTTTAAATCCGGGCCGGGCCGTAAAAATTTTTTTTAAAAATATTTGGGCCGGGCCGGGCCTTAAATTTTTAAATCCGGGCCGGGCCGTAAATAATTTTTTTAAAAATATCCGGGCCGGGCCTAAAAAATTTAAAACCGGGCCGGGCGGTGCAAATGGTACCTCTGCAGGTCTCTGATTTTTATAAATTCAATATAATATTCTCAAAATATTAGCTTTTTTCATGTATTTTTTAAATAATAAGCAATACTCGCGAAAAATATGGTAAAATACCTCATGGGAGAATTTTTGTATTTACCAGGTCGAATATAATTTAAAAAAATTCCGAGCCGGGACTCAAATTTTTAAATCCGGGCCGGGCCGTAAAAAAATTTTTTTTAATTTATCCGGGCCTGGCCGGGCCGGGCCGTAAAAAAATTTTTAAAAAAATATCCGGGCCGGGCCTAAAAAATTTAAAACCGGGCGGGGCCGGGCCGTGCAAATGGTGCCTCTGCAGGTCTCTGATATATATATAGATTTTATAATATACTAAAACAAAGAAAATTTTTAATTTTTTTTTCTTAAAACACCAACTTGCTAATTTAATATTAATGAAATTTAAAATTGTAATTGTAATTATTTTTAATTTATTTCTATTAAAGAATTTAATAAAAGGAAATACAACTATTAATATCTATTCATTTTTTATTGATTATATCTAATAATATAATTTTTATAAGTTATACATATCATAAGAAAATGAATCTTACTCCAATTAATAGAATATATATCAAAATTTTCACATAAGCATTTGCACTTTACCTTGGCATTTGCAGTTTACCTTAGCATTTGTAGTTTAGTCAAACCGATTAAAATTACTTAAATTTTGTTGAATTCTTAATTCAAGTAAAAAAAAAGAGTATATATATATAATCTTTTTTTTAATATATAATATTAGCTTTTAAAGTGAAAACAAAATTATCAATAGAATAAAATTTTATAATTATTTTACGGAAAAAGTAATTCCTGGCAATTTCTCAACGCTTGCTTCCCAATCATAATGATTACGAATTGGATGAAAAGTTCGGCCATACAACCTGCCTGTTCGCACTAAATTTAATCATTTCAATGATAATTTTTTTAAAAAAAATATAAATTCGCAAAAAAGAAAATATTATATATAAACAAATTATTTCGAGACAAAAATAACCAATTTATGTTCGAATGTCCCCAAATAAACATCAGTTTTATCACCGATGTTTCTTTCGTCATCTTAATCTAAATGTTCATCAACAAATGAGAGAGAACTCGGATCTCATAATATACTTACCTTTCCACTCAAGTTTTAGCTTTTATTAGTGTAATCTTACGAGAATATATTAATCCATAGAAATAAATTTGAAAAAATCAAACCATTAAACGTACAAATTAATTTCCAAAAGGATATTTAAAAAAAAATTATAATTTCAATCTGTTTGATTTCTATTTCTTTCCTTATTTTTGTTCAAATATCGACCATAAAATATTAGCTATTATATTTACCCCCAAAAACTGATCAAAACAAAGCTTATTCATTAATAAAAGGTATAATTACGGTGAGAAAAGGCTATATAATTGAAAAAAAATGCATCGTACCGTTTCTAACTTAAACCCAAAAATCTTGCCTCCTTCAACGGGATTTCCAGAATATCTATATTTGAAATATTAAATTTTGGTTTTAGTAAAAGGAAAGGAAAATGCAGCTTTAAAAAATATAAAAATTCAAACAAAATTGTACATAATTTTTTTTAAAAAATCGAATTATGAGTATACCAAATTTGAACCTTTAACAAATTTATTAATATCATGTAAACTTTTAAGGGTGGGGGGGAGGAGGGGGGGGGTAGATGGGGGTGGTGCTTAGATCCATAAAATCTTTTCCGCGGGATAATTTATCGTGGTACCTAAAATTTATCCATATTTCTTAGTTGTTATAATAAGATCAAGGATTTTTGTTAGAATTTATTAAAATTTGGAGCCAATAATATATTCTATATAGCGGGGACTGAGGGTGGTGCTATAAATTGGCATTGACATTTCAGGCTGATAGATGGGAGATAATCAAATAGTGAACATACTATAGTCAGCATCCATTTTTAAATCATATGGTTGCTATTCTAAATAGAATTATTATGATGGAAGTAACGAATGGTTTTGAACTCTCAATAAGTATTTATATACGGGCCATTTGTTTTTTACCTCACAATTTATCATTTCACGACGGTTCTAGGATAACTTTTATGGGGGGGGGGGGTATTTATAAAAAATCTTAATTACATTACCCCTGGATTAGTCGATCTGTACTAAAATTCTAATTTGGGTATAATTCTAGTTCATTATTGGTTCAGCTTTGATACAAAAGTTTGCAAAAAAATAAATAAAATTTTACCTTCCTTTGAAGAAAGCGATGTATACGAGAGACGAATAATAGTTAACGAATTGGAAGAGAAACATTTTAAGGGTATAACTGTCTTCGTAATCCGTCCTCGTTCTAGGACGTTCTTTAAGGTAAAATTAATAATAATTTTTGTAAATGGCTCGGCCCGATCCAAAGCGAAGTCTGCGGGAATTGATTAATTTTTTTTATTTTAAACCCGGGCTGAACCAAAAACATATTAGGCCCTACTCGAGATAGGCTAGGTAGAAAATGTGATATCTCGAGGATGTAAATAATATCTCACATTTAACTCAAAACAGTAATGATCACACCGAATTTGCCAAAGTTTTTTTTTAAATAGAAAAATAAAAAAATATGATCCTAACAATATTTGCAAAAATTTTCCAAATTTTTATTCTGATTAGGGTTAAAGTTTTAGAGACAACCTTAACAATATAACTGTAAACATAGATATAAATATGAATACGCAATGTATTTTTATTTTAACATACATTTTACAATACAATTCGATCAAATTTGTAATACATAATCACTCAACTAATAAAATTGAATATTTCTTTAGGGGGAAGAAAAATCGAATCCCATAATTACAACCATTCATTATAAATGAAAAGTCGAAATAATTTATACCTAAGTCAGTCAGAATAATTGCTATTTTTGAGTAAACCTATATTTTTTTTTTAACATATACATTTTACATTATAATTTGATTAAATATGTAATATATTATTTCATCGGCTAAAATTTAATATAAACTGAACTAAAAAAAAACTCAACCTTATAAGTCGACAAAGAGATTTAATAAACATTTTTATAGATTTAATCTTGAATACTGCTATCTAAAACTCATTTTTTCATAATAATTTAAATTTTCGAGAATTCGATTAATTTTATATTTCAAAATGCCACATCTCACATATTTAAAAGTTATAAAATTTAAAAAAAATGTTTTTTTTAAAAATTAAACCGGGGGAATTTACCAACTGAAAAGATTTTAGCAGTGAATACAATGTATATATAATATGTATGTATTTGCACTCTATAATATTATAAACTTTATTGAGCAAAATAATGGCTATGAGGTTGAGAATGGCAGCCGATATACTTGTGGTTAATTTGGCGTTGTGACTAATAATTTTGTCGCCTTGCGAATGAAGTACCGAAATGATGGATAGCTTGTATATAATTATAGCGAAAACTACTCCCATCACCATTACTAACTATTTAGATAATATTGATTAAATAAGAGAATTTTATTAAGAAGAATTCTATATTTTATTTTCTTTCTTTCTTTTCTTTTCTTTTCTTTTCTTTTCTTTTCTTTTCTTTTCTTTCTTTCTTTTCTTCTTTTCTTTTCTTTTCTTTTCTTTTCTTTTCTTTTCTTTTCTTTTCTTTTCTTTCTTTCTTTTCTTTTTCTTTTCTTTTCTTTTCTTTTCTTTTCTTTCTTTCTTTCTTTTCTCTTTTCTCTTTCTTTCTTTCTTTTCTTTTCTTTTCTTTTTCTTTCTTTCTTTCTTTCTTTCTTTCTTTCTTTCTTTCTTTCTTTCTTTCTTTCTTTCTTTCTTTCTTTCTTTCTTTCTTTCTTTCTTTCTTTCTTTCTTTCTTTCTTTCTTTCTTTCTTTCTTTCTTTCTTTCTTTCTTTCTTTCTTTCTTTCTTTCTTTCTTTCTTTCTTTCTTTCTTTCTTTCTTTACTTTTTTTCATTATAAATTTTTCATCCTTGCGCTTTATCAAAAACTTACAAAGGTTAAGACGGTGATACCGGTCCCCATAAGCCTTAGGGCTTTGCTGTAAAGTGGGAGATATGGTTCCAGGGTGTTTGTGATAGGATTTTTCCTGAGCGTTTTAACTTGAGTTTCGTATTCCGGCCGAACTATTTCCTCTTCCTCAAAATCTTTGGTATCCCAGTCCCAAGCCAGTTCGTTTTGCTTGCGTTTCCATAGCTCAAGGAAAAGTGTAGCTAAGTAAATTTTATATTACATATTTTTAATTTAGGCCATCCCAAACAAGAAATTATAAAAACCCTGAACATAATTTTTTTTTTTCCTTTTTCAAAATACAGGAGAAGATGCGTGTAATAGATTATTATTCGACTGAACGCGATGTCTTTCATTATTAAGCTATATTTTCAAAATAAAACCTTCTTAGTTCGATGTCATGAGTTTTTTTGGGATAAAATAGGTTAAGTCGTTTTATTATGTTAGGTCGGCTAAGCTAAAAAATAAAGTAATTACTAAACTATACATAAATATAACCAGCGTTTAACATTAAAAATTTTAAAGATTTTTGAAAATGATTCAAACAAGATTTTTGATATATTTTACCTAAAATCCCAAATCTTAATAAGCAAATATTTTGCGATTTTTGTGCATAAAATATCTTTCGTTATAAAATAACAAATTTATTTTTTATAATTATTTGATTATTTTCTTTAAAAAAATATTTTATTTTATGATTTTCAAAGATTTGTTGCTCAAAATTTTGGGCAAAAAAATTGAAATTTATTTTTAAGCTCTGGATATAATGCGTTAATTAAAATGATTTTTAAACGCTCTTACACCAAAAAGACATGAAGATTGCAAACGCGATAGTGGCAGGATTATCGAACAAATACGCAAGCTAAAACAGTAATATAAAAATATATTAAAATTTATGCAGATTCATTCATTTTTTTTTCTTTTCTTACTTTATTTCTTCTTTTTTTAAGTTATATTTTTAAATTTTATTAAATAAATTTTTTATAAACTTTGGAATAAAGACAGGAATCAGAAAGTTTCCAAAAAGTACAAAATTCATCACATAATGGACACATCGTTATATTACCGGTTCCATTCTTGTCGCAGAGTTCTTTACTTTTGAAAAAAAAATTATACATACATTGTAAGATACCATTCAAATGTATCTAAATATAGATAAAAATTTTAAAAGATACTCTTTTAAATTAAATCGTGTGCAGAATTCAAAAATTAAAAATGTGAGTGAATTGAACCAAACATTTCTTATTCAATTTGATATAATAAACTCTTAAATTTTTATTTCATCACCGTAATAATTTCGACAAATAGGTCCTTATATCCCTAAGTTTTGAATTTCCTTAAATATTATAGAGGAAAAGATAGCTCTACTAATTAATAGGGATAATAGGAATTAATTCAAATCGCGGTGTTTCTAGGAAATTATTCTAGTTTCCAATAACTTGCTTTAAATTTATATATATTTGAATTGTGAAGGATTTTAAATTATAATAAAATTGTAAAAAGTATTTTTTTTATTATTAATAAATAATGAATAAGAAATAGCATTTATAAAATTACGTGGGAATGTAATTATCGATGGTTAGAAGTCCGTAAAATAACCACAAGATGCCCACAAGTGCAGCTGGTATGAGCATCATAGTGTAAAATCCGAGCCAGGCAAAATATATGGCTATTTTCTCGCCGAAATATTTCCTGATTTATATTTATTCAAATAAGGATAAATTCTATTCGATAATAGAGGCTAGAATGTATAATCAATGGCGCCTTCGGCACTCCTTTCTTATTTTATGCTGGCCTTTAATAACGGTTTTTTAACATGTATCCCCAAATCCTAAAAAAAAAGATTTACTATTTGAGCTCAAACCTCTTTTTTGAGCCATGGATTTAAGTAGAAACAATATATTCTGAGCATGCGCCTAAATGACAAGATAATATTATATAGCGACGCGATTGTAAATAATACCTTCAAAATACTATATTCTTTTTCTTAATGTAATTCATAGCCAAAATAATTTTAAAAATAAACCTGCCATTCCTTGAAAAACAAAATAAATAATAAATTAGGCTATGCCGTAGGTAAGAAATGAAATGAATCTCATTTTTGAAAATCTACGTACATTTATTTTAAAAAATTTGACCCCGCCCGGGTTATATAAATTTTTTAGGCTCCGCTCAGATACTTAAACCCAAGTTATTTTGCGGTCCAGACCTGCAGGTCTCTAATAATAGGATATCAAGTAGGAAAATGAGTTTTTTTAAAAAAAATATATTTAATTTACCTTATCAATCCGATCGGCTGTTCTTTGTAAAACATTTTTGGCTTCGCCCAAATTTTGTACAATATCTTAAGATTTCATAAAAAAAAATATACATTAATTTTCGATAATTATTACAATTTCGAAATCAATTTTTTTTTTTAAAAAAAAGAAGAAAAAAAATGCAAAAAATTCTTTAGGCTCTTGAATTGGTTGGTCTTATTTTTGAAACTTATTTCCTATTTACCTCAGGCTAAGCAGATCATGAACTAGGACACTCTAAAGGTTTTGTCATACTCGCTATCATAATCTCTAAAAAATATAGTCAGGTGATTGATTAGATAATGGGAGTAAGTGGATGGGGGGGGGGAGATAATTTACCAAGACAGAGGGGTTTCACGCACGAAATGGGAACAGGCTTTTTAAATGAATATAATACCTGTCTATCATTTTTAGGAAGGTGATGATTATTAGTAGAGCGATCCTCTATAGCATCTGAATGATATTCCAAAAATGGGCCATCGTGCAAAGGAAAGGAACTTATATACGTACCACTGGATATTAATTTGTCTAAGCCTTCATTTTTTTTTAAAAAATAGTATTTAAAGGGATTCATGATAATTATATATTTTGAATATATTATTACAATTTTCATTGCACACCATATATTAGGAAAAGGAATCCAGGGTTTTTAAATCTCTCGATTTTATATCATTCACTAAGAAATAATTTTAAAATAATTTCATTCATGTAGAAGTTGTCCTATAAATATCAGACAATTCTTCACCCATAAACCTTTCCATATTTTTTAAAAAATCTATATAAAAATTGGTATAAATTATGAATACCTTCTAAATTTTCTAAGAAAAAGGTTTGGATGATATGTACATTTCCAATCTGAATTTTAAAATTTAAAAATGTACCCCCAGTTAAATTATTTGAAATTGAGAGATTCCGAATCCCAATGGATTCCATATTCCAATCAAAGATATGTTTGTATATATATATTAATAGATTGGCTTCATTGTCCATACATAGGAGTCAGCTATAAGGCCATTTTGTGATATGCAGGTCCATTATCTTATTAATCATTATATAAATGCACATTAATGTCACTTTAATCGACGGTGCAAATTAAAAAATGGCGTTATAGCATATTCCTATGTATGGACACAAATGCATATGAATCAATCGCCAATCTAATAATATATATACATCATTTATTTCAATGCGACAAATAAAAACATTTTACTTTGTAAAAATACCTCTAGTACATATTTAACATTTAGTTACAATTTTTTTAAAAGTTTAACTCTGGTTCCATGAGGTTTTATAATATAAGATCATAGCGCGGAGGTGATTTCTTACTCAATTTTCACTTTAGGAAACTTGGCCGACTATTTTTAAAACTAAGATAATTATTTTCTACACATTATACATTTTTGAATTTATTTTATTTTAGCTATTTTCTCAATTTTTATTGAAGTTAAAATAAGTTTTATTTAAATCGATATCGGTGGTCTGCAAATGGCAAATACTCAGGCCCCTCCCGATGAAAACTTAGTCCTTGTCCAGCCCAATTTCATTCACTGAGGTTGCTAGGCTTTCATTTCTTTACGAAAGTTGCTAGGTCTGGCTTGGTTTTTTTTTAAAAAAATCCTCACATTATTATAGATATTAGGTCTAACCTGAAATATTTGTAGTTTATCACCAAAATAAACAAATAGTTATAATATTGAGGAGTGGTTAAATTTTTTTTAAAAAAACTATATTTTATGGATTATCACTTTTATAAAATATCAGAAATCATCAATAAGTATAATACATTAGAAAATATGTCCTGTTTCTGCCAATAAATAATTTGACCCCTGTTTATAATAATCATTTATCATCATTAAAATTATAAACCAATAAATTAAAAATATACCATTTTAACAAAATTAGGCTTTAGAATAATTTTTCACACATATTCTCTAAGCTCTATTAAGCGGACCATCCTTTTTTCCCGATCCGACCCGCGAATTTATTTCCCGGTCCGTCAGATTTAAAATAAAATCGCTTGTAAATTTTGTTCTTTCTCTGCGGTTTTATTTTCTTCAAACTTTTTATTTGAAGTTTTATTGTTCAGATATAACATATTTAATCCCATTTATAAGCAAATTTTTTTGTTTTATCAAGTCTTAAAATTTAAGAATATATTTATTTATACCGAAATTCCTGGCTTGCATGTCGTATTTGCAACGCGATAATATTTCGTGAACGATTTTACTCCTTTTGGCATTGTCAAAAAAGGTGTTCTTATCTTCTATCAAAAATCTCAATTAATGTAAATAATTTTTTTTTTATAAATTGGTAAAAAGTATGTATAATAAAATCTATTGGGAAGGGGAGGGCAAAATATTATATCCTTTTAAAGATTCGATGTAAATTTTAACGATTTATATTAAAATGTGGAAATTATGTTCCATCAAATCTGCACAACACTGTATAATTAATTGTATATAGAAGAGATTCTGATAAAATTAGAAAGGTTCAAATGAAATGTTTTTCCTAGATTACGCATCTCGTTTTTATCATTAATTTTATGAATCGTAATATAATTAAATGTCACAAGGTTTGTGTTTAGCGCCAATGTATGTAATTTTCCGGCATAATATTTATTTAATGCTTTTCTTTTACGTGTAAAAAAAAATTCTAATCTTACATACATTCTAGTATTGTGTATAATACTTAACCCTATAAATTTTAAGCAATTTTCTCACGAATCTTTGTGTCATTTTTAAATTTTAGTATTTTTAAAAAAAATCATATTTATTATAAATTTTTTTTTAAAAAAATGCACGATAAAACTATCTGAAATTTGTAGCGTTAAGGTTCTCACCTTAAACTAAGTTTTATTATTGGGGGCAATTATTAATTATCACGTGATTACACAAAAATACACCGACTCCTAGAATGCATCCAGCATTCTATAAATAAATTTCATTTTTGAAATTTGGCGTTTTTTATACTTTAACATAATTTTTAAAAAGAAAAAGTCTTCTCTATAACTTAAAGGCCGTGTCTTTAGTTCGTCTCTTTTTTTCCCTTTCTTTTTAGAATAATAATAATGCATTATGTATTTTGGTATTATTATCATCTTACCTCCAAATCTATCATCATTTTTTTAAAAAAAACCAAAAAAATGGGGATCCTAGCTGATTAAAAACAAAAATGTTCTAGCTATGGCGCAGCCAAGATCTGAAGAAGATCCAAAATTTAGACTGAGGAATTTTATCATGTCCAATTAAATTTTAAAGGAAAATCTTAGCATGGAGACATTTTCTTTCTTCAGCTAGTTAGAAAGGGAAATTTTAAAATCGAATATAATAAATTCACGAATCATGCGAGCGCGAAAACCTGTCTATGTAGTCTTGATTAAAAACGCACGTAAAATAGCGTATTTCTTTGGGTTTGTATTTTTTGGATAAAGCGAATGGGTTATGGAAATATTTCCAGAATTTGCTAACTTGAATTAGAAAGTTATCTTCCTGTAAAAAAAGAAAGAAAGAAAGAATTATAAACGATATTGAGTATATATATATATAGAGTGTTATAAATATGATCACTTTTAAATTGAAGAGCCAGCGCTTATAAGCAACAATTTCTTTAGCAAGTATAAGTAAATCTTGTGAAATTAATAAGCTTATTTATTGTCGAAAGCATTGGAGTTATACTGATTTATAACATTTAACACTAGACTTAGGAACGTGATAGATATATCATTATAGTACCCGGAAATTTTTTTTAAATTTTATTTAAAATGAATTTCTAGAATAATGTTTCAATAAAATATAATAACGAGGTGCCGGATATTGGACGGATGCCGGATGTTAAACTAGTGCAGAGATCGAGAGACCCGGCTGGTTCTATCGGCTCCTATATATTTTTTATTTTAACATTGTTTGCTAATTTAAGATGAAATTAATAAATAAAGATACTTTAATATAATAGTAAATGAAGCGCTTACAAATTGAGAACATTTTTGTTTAGCGTTTTATATCAAATAATGTTTTTTTTATATGGTGTAAGTAAATTGGTAACAAAAAAACACAAGATTTTCACATTTCAAAAAAAAATTTCATTTATATTTGAAAAAAACAAACAGTTTTTTTATTTTTAAAAATAAACCCTAAACTCTACCGCTCAATCGCGGTATCGATAGCTGCCGATATTTTTTTTGCCGTTGCCAAATTATTCAACTCTCTAAAGGACGGTCGAATAATTTTTCAATACAATTTTGCACTAAAATCATTATAATATATTTTATTCTTGCAAAATATATTAAAATATTATAAATAATTTATCGTAAAAATTGTTCATTTTTTAGGTCATTTCATTTTTAATAAATTTTTTTTAAAAAAAACAAAATTCTTATTAATTTTCCAGTCCGTATGCCGTCTTCTTAAGGGGGGAGGGGGGGGGGGTCTTCGCAGACAACTTAAAAAAAATTGTTACGAATATTTGCTAAGACACTTATCTACTGATTATATTGTTTAAAATCTTTGCAAATATTTTTAATTTGCCAACGAAGACTTGCGTTGTTAAACGGCTCGATTTGAACCAAGTTTTAAAAATGACTAACGGAATATTTTATCCAGAAAAATATTATGCTAAAGCCTGAACATTTATTTTCCATGGATGGCACAAAGGTTTGGATGGCACAAATGTTTGGATACCCATTAGCGAAATCTCAAGGCTTTGGCAATATTTTTTGGGACAAAATATAAAGTTTTTTTCCGGTCATGGGTTACTTTATTTGAATATTTACTATCCGTTTTTTTAAAAAAATCGGCTCAAATCGAGTTGCACTAGCGAAGACCTAAGAAAGAGAAAAAATAATTCTTATCATTTTCATCCATTTTTCCTAACATTTATTTTATTTTTTTTTAAAAAATTCTTCTAATTTTTATATTCTTTTAAAATTAAAATATGCTTTAAAAAATTGATTCAATATTCTTTCACCAATAATTAGAATTTTATGGGGAAAAAAAAATTAATCAAATTATCCGTACTTTGTTTAAATTAATTTTAGCCCTTTTGTGGAGGTAAAAATAATAGAACTTTATAATACATTTTTTTAGAGAAATAAAAATTGAAGTTAATATGAGTAAGTTATTGTCTCTATTTTGTATAAGTATCAGGTGAAACTAAGGCTTAGCCGATATTTCGCCTTTTCAAAAAATATAGGATCGGCCCGTTATTTTTAATTAACCGATCCGATCCGATATGTTTTTCATTTATATTGTTTTTGGTTATTTTATAATTGTATATATAATCATCTAAATATTTTTTTTTGTTTTACAAATAATTTCATAATTATAAATTAAATGAAAGGAACTTAAATACTTTGTTTGTAAAAATAATTAAAAATTTAAACAATATTTTTTGTTATATTATCGGCAACAAGAAAAGGATTTTAAAAGATCTAACAAGTCACATTCAGCTAGTTGTTGTTAAACTCGATTTAGTTTAAAAACGTTTAACTCAGGATTTTGGCCAAAATTGATTATGCCCAAAGATGGTGGAAAGGTTATAGGCTTAGGTAGTTAAAATTTTGATTTCGCCCTTTTTAAAATTATGCTAAATGGAGCTGTTTTTGCAAATATTTTAACTTAGATTATTAATTTTTGGAGAATAAAAAAAAAGGAAAATACAACTTAATCATTCGTGAAAGTTAGTTGGTTTTTTTTAAGATAGAAAATAATGTTTTTTTAAGACATTGGTTCAAAAATCGATATAAATATCGGATCATTTTTTTTAATAATATAGAATCAGATGTGTTAAAAAATTGTGGATCGGCGGCACAGTCCTATTAAAAACCTCGATATGTTATTTTTTTTTAAACGACTAAATCAGGATTTTGGATTGCGACAATAGATTTAAAATAATATTTTCTAAGGTTTTATTAAGTATATTGTCAAAAATAATAAGTGTTATCAGCGCATCTCTGGTAATTAATAGCCTTTATTTTTTTTTTTAAAGAAATAATTAATATTTGTAGTATACCTTGACAGGCATCTTGATGTTCATGAGTTGAGCGTACTTGCAAAGAATTTCGAAGGGCGCGTGAATTTTGAGATAAATTAATCCCTGGGAATTTTCCTAGATGAAGTGAATAATTTTTTTTTTTTCGAAGTTAATTATTCGATTCGTTACTTATAAGGTTGAGAGAAATAACATTAAGACCCAATTTTTTATAATAATTATCGATCTTTGATGCATTCCGAAACCTTAACAGGCCCCGACTCGGTCTAAGACCGATATTTTAACTCTCTTTAGAATTAAATTTTGATAATCAAATCGAGATTAGACGCAAAATGATTCTAAAGCCATTTACCCTAGCATCGGTTTTCTCAAGCTGCAAGCCTTCCTTGACCAAATTTTTCTCAAAAATCAACCTCCTATGTTCTTTCTTAATCTCTCCGTCTGCGTAGATAAGGGGTTTCTTGTAAACGAGTATATAGTCAATCTTTCTCTTGCCATCGTCCATATATGTGCCCGGGGTGCGAATCGACTTAATTTTAATTGTAAAAAAAAATTATAGAAAATAGTGGAATTAGCCCCCAGTCTCAGAATAATTTAATATATAATGATATCATTTAAAATAAATATGGCACACTCTTTGATATCGGCCTGTTCGGTAAACACATTTTTTCATAGTAGCTTATATAATCCGATTAATCTAAAAACAACTGCAAAATGTCCAACATAGCTAGAGTAATGGCTAAAAATCGGCTTAATCTATAGAAGGGTGTCGCAGAAGGACCCTAAATACGCGGTGCGATTTAAATTTATTTCTGTTTATCAGAGTTGAGCTATATTTTTTTTAACAAAAAAAAATACCTCCTTGAGGTAATGGCGATTGTTTTTGGGATTTATCTGTTTTTTAGCCGACTAAATAGAGATGTACGATACTACAGGAATTGGCACCGATTTTTAAAAAATCCAGCTAAAGGTAAGGCTGGATTCTTTCTATTCATTAATTATATATATATAAAAAAATGCCTTTCAATAATTTATACAAAAATTGGAAAATATTTATAACCAAAAAATTTTAATGTCTTTCTTTTTGATATCTTAAAATTTTGATATTTTATTTTCTGTGTAATAAATTTACTTTCTTTTAAAAGAATAAACACGTATTTATTTGAAAATATGATTAAGAACTTTGTTGTAATTGAAATACATTTCGATGGATCTAATTGATAATGAATTGAAACAAGAAAACGCATTTGACAAAATATTCTATATTATAAAACAAAGAGATGTCCTAAAAAAAATCGAAAAATTCTCATTATTAAAATCAGGTGGTCGGCATAAAGGTTATCGTATTGGATTTTGCAATTAAAATCTGAAATCATTCTTCCCTAAATTAGACATGGAAGGGTTATCCGCGAAACATTTTATAATTTTGAAGAAGAAGAAAATAGAATTTGTAATCTTTTTTTTTAAAAATAATATTTCAAAATAGAGATATTAACTAGAAAATCAAGTAATAATTAATACTAGTTAGTACCCAGAAGTTATAAGCTTGGATGGATGCAAAAAGCTTTATAATTTAAATTTGAAACTTCTTTTTTAATAAAATTATAAAATAGAAATATTAACTAGTAAATGGGGGTAATAATTAATATTAGGCTACTAGTTGGTAGTTAAATATTTCCTAAAGGCTATAAAATTATCAATAATTCAAATTCGAAAAATAATTGATGATTTAAAATAGGCAAAGTCTGCTTGCACCCTAAGTAAAAATATGAGAGATATTATGTAATAGCTTTCAAAATAATATATATTACTAATTAGAGTAATTAATCGGCTAACTTTTAATTTTAAGAGTTTCATAGGAATAATATCCATTAGAGATGTCGGCGATAATATTTTACGAAGGTGAAAAATTATTTAATTTAAAATTATAAAATTTGAAATCAATGTTAAATCGATTTCAGAAAAAAAAAATATTTTATAATAATATTTTTGATAAAAATATAAAATGTATCATTCATTTGAAAAAAAAATAAAAAACTTTAATAAAAGAAAAAAATAAACAGCGAATAACAAGAAAATAAATGTAATAAGTTAAGGCCAAATAAGTTGCCATGTTCTCTTTTAAGATGTCCAAAAATCTTGTATTTAAATTTGTCCTCTTTTTAAAATAAAAAATTTTATTTTTACATATTATTAAGGAAAAGTAGGTTTTGTTTTGTTGGTATTTTTTCATCGTGTTATAATTTTTTATATGTCGTAATTTTTAAAGGGATCATGACTATCCGGGATCTTCACGAGATTTAAAGGGATAACTAAAAAATTAGGGTTTTAAATTAAGGAATGTTTTCACGTTTTAATCGTGATAAAGAGGAATTTTATTTTAAAAGCGTTTTCCACGAGTTTCGTTGCGTTTTTTAATTTTCAATTTTGTTTTTTTTAGCCTTATGATATAAGATATGTCTAGTATAGGGTATCATTCGATAGCTAATCAAAAGATCTATTCAACTGGAGGTCAATCTCTGCCCAATAATAGTCGGTGTGGGTGCGGGGGGGGGGGGTCTTAAAAAGTTTTTTTTTGATATGGTTATTAAATAAAAGCTAATTTTAATATGGTTTGACTGAAAGTCTTTATTCTTGGTCTTGATAGGTATGACTTGGTGTGGGGGTGTAAAAACCAGTCTCTAAATAAAAAATGATTATTTTACTTATATATTTTAGTTCAACGTTCAATGATAACTTATTAATCGAGTCTAATCCAGATGAAATGAGTAAAAATTGAATGATAATAAATATTTTAAACTTATAATTAAAAGGTTTAATTCAAAATTCTATACCAAGCTCATCATATAATGGCAATGGATTGAGAAATCATTCCTTTTCTGATGTTACCAACTCTACAAATTTAACTCTTCATTTTTATATATTTTTTATTTTAAACAAGATTTCACCATAGTTTCTAATGAGACTTGCAATACGTTATACGTACTTTATAACAATAAAAGTATGATAAACCTGTGGGTGTTCTGATTGCTTACAAAATAAGGAAAGCAAATTCTTACGAATCCTTTTACAATATTGAATATATTTTTTCGGAGGGAACAAAATATAAAATTGGAAATATAATATTATGGAAAGATAATTATACTACAAACTCGATTGGCACCAGCATCGAAAATATTTTAACCAGACTACCTTCGTTCATTTCATATTTAATAGATAAGAAGAAGCAAGAGAATGCTTATAAGAATAAAATTAAAAAGATAAAATTTTGCATTGGGGATCACGTACTGATCCCAATAAATAAAAATGATAGATCTAATCTATGCTCCAAAAATATTGAGGCCGAAATTGTACAAATGGAGGGCGAGAAATTATGGGTTGGAACTAATTTGGGAAAAAATGATTCCCCATTTTTAAAAACGAACATTCATAAATCAATAAAATTGACCAATTTTACCATTCCTAATAAGACGATCTCCATAATAACAGCATCAAGAAGTACATCTTCTTATGGTAGTTTTAAACAGGGCCGTAGCCACGGGGGGGGGGGGGAGCAGGGGGGCCCGGCTCCCCCAAAAAAATTTTTGGCCCCCAAACCTGGCCCTCAGAAATTTTTCTGGCCCCCCCAAATTTGAATTTTTTTTTAGAATTGATTATTTTTATATTTTTAATATAAATTTTAAATATTTATTCAAAAATATTCAAAAAACATGTCTATTTAGAATTGATTATTTTTATATTTTTAAAATAAATTTTGAATATTTATTCTACAAACATATCTAGTTTGTAAAATTTTTTTTATCCTGTTTTATTTTTATTTTTACCCAATATTAAATTCATTCATTTTTTTTCATCTGTTTTTGTTGTGTATCACATTCTCTATAGGTATCACATTAATATTATAATATATAACCAGTTATTTTATTTTAGAGCGTTTATTTTAAAATTATGAAGAAACAATCAATTATAAACTCTTATTTTAAGTTAAAGTTAAACAAATTTCAAGCAACATCACCTCTACAAACTACTAGTAATACTACATCAGAAATTTCAGAAACTGATTCTTCTCATAGTTAGTATAAATTTATATTATTATTTCATGATTTATATGATATTTATATAGGGCAATATTTGTATATTATTATTTATAATATATATATTTTATATAAGATAAGAGAAAGACATTTATTATTAATATTATCATTTTTGTATAATAATTTTAATTATTAAAATAAATATATTTACTCATATTTCAAGATATGAATGAAGCTAATCTAGAAAATCAAGAGGAGGAAGATGGTAAATAGTTTAAAATTTAACCCAAATTTTTCTATTTTGACAATATGAATAGGAGTAGGAGATTATGGTGTTTCATTATTACATTTTGATTTTAAAACAAATAAAAACGAAGAAGAGACTCAATCATCTTCATCTAGCAGCTCAGTCTCTCATTGTCAAGAAGCAACTAGTAATTGATTTATAAATATAAAAATATTATATTTTTTTGTTAATCTTTAAAGATATAATGTTTATGACTTTTTTCTAGTTTTTAATACTGAAATTTTACTGATCAACTTTACTGATAATCTTCATCAGGGTTGGGCACTACAGTAACTTGTATCTTAAATACAAGATAAATTTTGTGTTTGTTCATTTTCAGCATGCCCTTCCTTCGCCCATCCTGATGACCATTATTATTTATGACCCTTTCCCTCATTACAATTTATTAATTATAATATTTTTAGTGTCAAAAAAGTCCTCTAATGGTTCAATTCAAATCCCTGGTGACCTTGGCCAGAATAAACCAAATCAAATCAAATTAAACAATTACGCGAAAAAAGATATCCATGGAAGGCAAAGATCATTTCAAAAATCATGGTATAGAGGCCGAGACTGGTTGGAGTATAGTGTAGAAGCTGACGCTGCCTTTTGTTTTCCATGTAGGAAATACTTGTGTAATCCAAGTGATGAATTTGGACAAACGGGATTCAGAAATTGGAAAAATGCGTTAGCTGCCAAGAAGGGACTGCTTAAACACGAGAGCTCAAAAGCTCATTTAAATTCAATTACAATATGGCATGATAAAAATCAAAATATAAACAATGGTACAGAAATAACTAAAATGTTGGGAGGTGATCAAATTAATCGTAATCAATATTATATTAAATCATATTTGATTTGATGCTGTTTCTTAGCGTACAAGAGCTACCTTTCCGTGGGACTGGTTCAACAAATATTACGGATGCTGCAAAAGATGAAATCATAATTTATTCTTCTGAACTATTTATAGCAATGTTTTCCTACACCATCCAAAAAGACCCTGAATTAAATAAAATTATGAAATTTATACCCCAAAATGCCCAGTATACATCACCACAGATTCAAAACGAAGTAATATCCATTATGGCAGATATGGTGCTTGAACATATTTCAGACAAATATAATAAAAGCGAGATGCCTTTTTTTTGTCTTAAGGCCGATGAGACAAAAGATGCTTCAGGTTGT